TTTTTATAATTGATGATAAATATACGCAAATATTTATTGTTTTTATCATAATCACAAATATACAATAAATATAATGTACTTAGTTAGGTTGCCGTGGCCTGTGCAATCTCGTTCCCCAAGCCTGCGATCCTCGGGAAGGAACGCGAGGCTCTGGGATAATCCGTTGCCGGAAGCCAGGAATTGTGGCTAAGATTGAACTACGCATTCCATTTCAACGGCCAATCAGATTCCTCCCTGAAACGGATTATCCCAGAGCCTCGCGTTCCTTCCCGAGGATCGCAGGCTCGGGGAACGAGATTGTAGCCTGTGGTGGAGAAAAAACGTTTCGTGAAATATTCACCCCCCCTGTTATGTAACCCACGAGGTGTTTTCGCGAACTTGCGCGTGACTTTTAAATTACTTCTTTCGAATTCTAACAGGACAACTATTATGGGAGGTTTTTTCCCCCCAAATACAAATAATATTTCCAATTTTTGGATTGGGACTATTCTACAATGAAGTACTCCTGGATAATGTAATCTAAATACATATGAAAACGAAGAAGTGGCATTTGTCGAGCAGAGAAGCGGCGAGCCATTAAAATGGCGGCAATTTGACGAAGTATCGAAGGACACAATATCGAAGATAAAATACACTGCACTGTTTCTAAAGTGGATGAAACCTTCTTTGAAATCTTCTTCAGCCATTTATAATTATGTAAAAGTACAATAACTGGATGATATTTGCGAGATTCGGCGATAAAAAGCAAACAAGACGGCAAAATATGGCTGAAATCGTGTTTTCGTGGGGGATAAGTGAAATAAAATGTATTATATTTAAAGAAAACAATGACAATCCTTATGATATCAACAATATTTATATTAAATTAAGCATAGTTTTTCACCCCATGATAATTTTTTTTAGGAAATAAGAATATTTAATTTCTGCCAGACATATTAGTTATTTTATGCATAATTAGCAATTTACCTGGGGTGGTGCATGGTCATTTTCTTGTAAAACATTTACTTAGACAAATTTTTTCTTCCAATGACCACCCCTAAAAGTAACCCTTCTAAACACTATAAGCACTTCAGAAAGACTATCGCTTTTTGTTTTCTGAAGTTAGAGCTATGTCGACACTGCCGTTTCAGGGCGGGGTCATTTTCAGGACTTTCGTCCCGGATTCAGGTTTTGGCACATATGCCATGTTGACCGCCATGGTCATTTTACCCTAAAACAGTTGAGATTACCTGTGCTAAATGAAACGCATACAAACTCATATACAGGTCCTAGACTATCAGCACTTCGGCTTATATTTGGCTTCACTTTTCCGTCGCACCCTACATTGTCCCCATTTTCTCCGCAGGCCGGCAGGCGGAGTGAACGCCTGAGTAGGCGTCTTGTTACAAATAAACTGTAACTGTTACAGCACTGTATATTTATATATTGATTTCTCGGTATATACAAAATTATTTTAAAGTATAACAACCAGCGAAGAAGTAAGCCACTAACGTTTCGAATAAAATTGGCCATTAAATATTTTAAATGCATACACAAACTGAAACGTTTTGCGACCGCAGACAGCCGACCTCTGAAGATAAATAAAGCTGATTATTGCGCGTTCTAAGTCTGTATCATACACAACGTCGATTTCTCACTCCTGCTTAGTTTATCATGCGAAACAATTATGTTAAGTACATAAATACACAGCGTAGCTATATTAATATGGTTCGGCTCACCACAAACTTTCGTTGAGTGCCAATGTTCATTGTTTAGGACGCAACTCTGCAATGTTGTGATCAATCATGATCAATTGCATCATGTGGGTGTAGGTAAAACAACATGGCCCTAGGCCATGGCCCAGTGTATGGCCCTACCCTTGGCCCACCTGTTTTTTGTTTAATTTTGATGTGTAAATTATGTCAAAATGAGTTTAACGTGTTAAATACGTTTCATATATATTATAGAATATTGATTTGAGCTCATTTCTAAAATACGAAATAAGTTTTGACCTGTCACCTGTACGTTTTACGATTAGTACATAATATGGACTATTACATAAAGTACGAACAACCAAACAACACATGATCACGTGAGAGAATCAATGTCGGCCGAATGGCGGACAACTGCATCGTTTCATGGGGTGAGTTTTTATCGTTTCTTGTAGCTTTTTCATTTGCTATCAATACGAGCAGATCTAGATGCTTGTCTTGCAATTTAATGTTGAGAACTCTCTAACGTTTATGAACGTTTGAATTTTAGAAAATCGTGTTTAAAATAAAAAAATGAAGCGATCGAGGCGAGTTTGAAGAATTACATTTGGACACTGTTTATATGTTGAAATATTTACATATTTACACTTTACAGACTAGATAATTCCGAATATTCGGAATCCGCATAATTTTGCAACTTTGGGAACTTTCTGACTTGTTTTCAAGCCTGTAAATCCTGTGTTATTTGTATTTAAAAGGTTTCGACATAAGGTAAATATTTCAACATATTTTAATTAAATAAACAGCGTCCAAATGTAATTCTTCAAACTCACCTCGATCGCTTCATTTGTTTTATTTCAAAAACACGATTTTCTAAAATTCAAACGTTTATATTATCAATATTAAATTGCAAGACAAGCACCTGCTCGTATTCATAGCAAAAAACTACAAGAAACGATAAAAACTCACCCCATGAAACGATGCAGTTGTGCGCCTAGCCTGCATGGCAGGCGGTCTAAAATACCGCCTGCTGGGTTTGGCAGTGTAATTTGATAACCGCCCACTTTTTTGTCCGGGTCCAATTAGCCAATCAGCAAACACTAAATATATTAATAATCAAACTGTCAAACTATGTTATTGTTTGGTCGCAAAATTGCAAATGTATAAAAATATGTCGAAAGAAACGCCATTGAAAGTTTCAATCAGGACCGAATAAGGCGAATAACGACAAGAGGTAGAAAAGCAAGCGCGGAAAATGTAAATGACTTGTCATTTGTTTAAGTGTGCTTTGAAACTAAAATACGGGGCAATACGCCAATAGAGAAAATATCTTATATTCTTATATATCGTTGGAGAAATTATTTATTTAAGGCAAGCAAAAGAAACGTTACGACAGTGGTAAAACCTTGGCCGAAATAAGCCGAATTGCCGGTTCAGTTCATTTAGGAATCGAAGTTAATTCTACCTCGGAACTATCCGACCAAGTTTGTAAACCGTGTGAGCGAAATATCCGAAATGCAAGCGAACTGATTGCCATAATCAAACGAGACATAAACGCGTTGCCTGTGTACGTTCGAACAAATAGACAGTTTTATTAAAAACCTCAGTTGCCAACATGAACTGTCTCGTCTCCCTAACGAAGCCGTGTGGTAACGAAAGCCTTGAAAAGTTCAGAAAGTGAAGCGGTTATTAATAGGCATAGGCGTAATAGACTAATAGTCCTATTATAAAACCCGTTGCAAGAAAGACTATACGGCCGTCAGCTGTATCTATTCTCGTTATATTTTCTCGCGCCAAAAAGAACAATGTAAAAATCAAGCTTTTCCCATAGAATGGCCAAAACATTCTTTCCAAGGAGTAAATCTTTAACTGCTATCTCTTGCTCGCGTTTGACAATCAGTTCGCGTTTCTTTCGAGAAGCGTTCAGTTTTACAACACCTATTAATTAAAGCGAACGCATGCATCATTAAAGTGTCAAACGTATGTTTACATATTAAAGTGTATTCACTTTTGAGTGACAGCGGCAGACGGGGAATTCGATTGCACTGCCAAACCCAGCAGGCGGTATTTCCCAGGCTTGCCCAATTTTAGGAACCGCCTGCCATGCAGGCTATTGTGCGCCATGCAG